TTTTTTTTTTTTTTGTGTTTCCCAAAGATAATATATGTGACTTTCTACAAAACTGTATTTTGGTCAAGACTGATTTTGTAAAAATGAATTAGTTGCTTTAAGAAAACTAAATATTAGGAATAATAGATCGAACTACCATGGAATTTCATTACAGCAAAAACAATTTCAGATATCCAAGAACAAGAGTGAACGTAAACTGCGCAGGTTCACTACCAGTAGTTGATTATTTTGGAAAGTAGCTTATAAGAAATGTCAATCATGAAAAAAATTGAATTTCCATTGATGTCCAACAGAATACTAAGTCCAAAGAAAATGGAAAAGCTACCTGGCTTACAGAGGAAGAACAGTCAGTTAGCACATCTGAGATGGAAACATGTTCAGATGAACTCTGGTTATCTGTTACGAGACTCAGGTAACTTGAACTTCGACTGACTGGCTGTCGAACTCCTGAACTACTGAGATAGGAACTCATGGAATCCTGCCCTCTCTCAGTATCCAAAGACTGGCATCGTGAATGATTGGGCTCGGACCGCTCGGTTGAGTTTGTTGTTGAACGAAGAAGAGTATTATTTACGGTTGAAAGAGCCTGAAATCGCTGAATTGGCAGGGAAGGAGAATGGAAATGAGAATAGGAAGAAACGGAGTGAAGATCTGCAAATTCCGCAACATTAAAATATAAAAAAGTTGTGTTAGAATCCCATATTAGCTTACAGTGCCTGGAGAAATTTTACCAGCATGGAAACTAAGGTAAAAATTTTCTATTCATCAAATTTTTATCACATTATTCTTGTTAAATACGGGTGAACTTGGTGAATCAAATAAAGTTACAAAAGCAATTCACCAGGGCATGATAAATCATTGTTCCTCACAGAATACAATCACATCTTTGGATAAGCAGATGTAGCTCAAACCTGAAGTGCTATTACCTTTTGGGGAACTGGAACTGTAACTTGATGAACTGTTGTTAGAGAAACTTAAGTCACTGCAGTCATCTTTAATACTTTTATTTGTAGCTAAGTGAGGCGGGCGGATGGATGACAATTTTCCTTTTGAAACAGCATAGATTGTACAAAAGCTTGGAGTACAAAGTGAGATTCTCGAGGACAGATCATCCTTTTTAATTTTCCTGCAAAAATCATCCTGTTACCTACAAAATTTATGTGTGAAGCTTGCAAAATTTGAGAATATACAGCACTTACACAAGTTACAGCTGTGATATCTTAATATACTTGCTAAAACTAAAATTACTTGATGATGACTGATGCTCCTCTTGTTGTATATCTATTTCATTTGCCTCCTATACATCACCAAAACAGCTTAAAGAGGTACCAGATTACTTTTCTTCCTTTGTTTTTTTATTAATTTACTTTTTTTTTTTTTTTACAGGAAACGGAAGAGAATAAATTACTTTTTGTATCTCTCTTTTTACTACAATACAGTGATTACTTTCAATCATCAAATGTATGCATATTATCTGCACTATGGCAAAAGCATAAAACTATGAATTATTCAGAATGAGTATTTTGGGTTACAAATCCATGGTGTTCATATACAACCAAAGCTCCCAGCTTGTCTAACGACATCTCATGTCTTTTGTAGTGTCATATCCCAACAACTTAATTTTTATTTTTTTATTTTGAGGGATTAAAAGCTTGTTTAAGAAACCACCAATCCATTCTAACATAATTTCATCTCAACTTGTTCAAAAAAGAAAAAAGAAAAAAGAAGGTACTATCTTGAAAATCAGTGCTGCAATATGAGATGATCTGACTACGGCACACATATACTACCAGCAGGAACTGGATAACTCCCTTGTGTTTCTAATAGTTGTAATATGATAGTAAAATGTAAACTTTGAGACAGCATATTTTACCAAAATTTGAGAAGCTGATATCAATTTTCAGTTGTGATGTCTTTCCACTCAAAGTGGAGTTTTACAGCATGAATTTATACCGTTGCACGCCAGCTAAAATGCAAATCAATTTGACTATGATCTCAAGAACCACGATACATTTACGCTGGATAAATACCTTGAAAACATCATGTAAGATGCAGCACCTATAACAAGCTTGTTAATGGAGCAGTTTGCAACCTCCTCTGCAATTGCTTTTGCCACATCATCTGATTCAATTATTGTTATATCTACTTGCACCTACATGCAGAATTATGCAAATTAATTTCTACTTCTCGAAGACTCATACACGAAAAATATTTGAAAAGGAAAATTTACCTTTTTCTGAATACACATTTTTTTATAAGGCTGCAACATTTTACTCCTCTGCCATTCCACTTCCTGCTTATAAGCAGCTGCTACGTCATCGCGTATTTGTGAAATAGGAATGAAATTTCCCACTAGAAGAAAAACTAAGTCAGATAGCCAGAAATGCTGATAATTTCATTTCTTTCAATCAGTAAGGAATTCTCCAATTATTTCTAGAGATGTTCACATGGACAAATATCAATTTCATGGCATGATTTCTTCTATAAAATTCATTACCGAGACACTACTGACTGCCACAACTGTTAGTCAACATCTTTGTAAAACTGTGAGCATTAATTCGGCGGGCAAATAGAAACTAATATGAAAAGCTTTTACAGTGATTCTCTAGCTTATAATTAACCATCAAATTGAAGAGAAAAAGGGCAAGGAAAAGTTGTTTAAGATAAAAGTTAACTTTTTCTCTGTAGAATAATTATCTGAAAGAAGCATAGCTTACTTGGTGTAGGGACTGCAGTAATCCTTGGGCAGACATGTAACAACTTGAACAAAGTGATTCCCTCGGGAACGAACTTTTCCAATGTCCATGAAATAACATTCTTGCTTTTTCTATTTCCCTTGACAGCAATTGCAACAATAAAAGCAGGAGGTGGTGGCAATGTGAGCTCGCCTTTTGGTTCGACAATTTCTTTTACATCCATTTTTCTTCCACTTCAACTAGTGCTGAATCCTCTCTATCATCAAAGGAAAAATACCATAACAAACTAGTCCAAGAAATTGTATTAGAATCAAGGCAAATAGCTACGAGTTTTAACACACTCAACAACTACAGAGTCTCAAATAGTGAATAGTTTTTCATATTTCTTACTTCTTAAGCCAACCCCATATTGAAATTTGTGAAACCAAAAATTCAAAACCTTTTCCACAACATGACTCTTTACATGAAATCATGATGAAATCAAGGCAAAACATAAAAGAATATACAAAACTGACCATGACAAGCAAGAATAAGAGCGAGAAGTATATGAATAGGCTATAAGGAAAGAAGTGATGGGAATAAGGAAAAAAAAGCATCACTCCTCTTCAGAATCAGATGTCATATAAACAAAATCCTTTCCCAGATAACAGTCTATCTCATCAACAAATCAACATCTTCTGTATTAGAAAATGATGCAAAAATAAAATTTCATAAGGAAACCATGACAAATTCTGCTTCCTGCATTTATTTGTTTTGGAAAGGTAACAGAAACTGATAGCAAAGGGCAGGAATGTCTGTGATTCCTGAATCTCAACAGACATGTAAAGACGTTTCATTTTCATCATAAAAATCCAACCTTATTTATTCACTAATAAAGCTTCAAATCGAAACAAAATTAATTTCCCAACCATGATACTAAAAAACTTGAAAAAAAAAAAAAAAATTAAGAAAAAAAAAAAAAAAAATTAAGTATCAAAGAACAACACAGAATAAGGAGAACCCAAAAACAGAAAGCAAAACCATAGCGGGTTTTTACACCATCAAATTAAGAGTTCCCTCAAAACTCAAAATGAAGAAGAAGAAGCCAAAAACATACCAGGCTTTTACTCCATGAAACTCTGAGTTGCTTCAAACTGGAAACAAGAAGAAGAAAATGAAATGGTTTTGCCTCAACAAGTAGAAAGTAGAAGAAGAAGCTTGGTTAGGTGACAGAGTTGCCCCACAAGCAAAATTGATATTGTTTCTGCTATATTTAGAGACAACCTTGGCGTGAAACATTAACCATCCACGAAACTTACGTTTATAAACTAATTTTTTAAACAACTATCCATATAAAAACAAAAAAAAAAGATTAGCTTGGTGCGATTATGTTGTTCTACTACTTTTCAAAGAGATTGTTTTGTTTTCCTCTTTGTAAACAGAAGAAGCCACTTGTTTTGTTTATGTTTTGAGTTTGTTAAAGCCCAGTTCGAGGAGAGGACCCACTTAGCCGTTTGTTAATTTCTAGTTAAGTTTGATAATGCTTATTAGAGTGAGGTTTATCTTCATTAATTAATTGTTTTATACTTTCATGGAAGGTTTCAGTTTATTGCCTGTAATTTGACGGAATTTTATTAAAGTTTATTTTGTCAACTTTTTATTTATTTATTAGGGACATGCACAGAAATCCTCTTAAGATATGTTTGATTGAGAATTCTAATTAATCTTACATAAATAATTATAGAATAAAAGTCTATGTTCAATGCGAAATTTTTATATCAAATTCAATTTGTAATTGAAAAAAAAAAAATTGTTGAATAAGTCAAATTGTTGATCCATTTCAAACTAATTGATTTCGTAATTAGATTCACTAATCAAATTTAAATCAGTTTATAAATATGGTAAATCCATAGGATTTGCATATAAAATTATCATAAATATTAAATTCGAAAAAATATATTTTAAATAAAAAAATGGAGTGGGTAGGCTTGAAAAAGAACGTGCCAATTGCCAACTTATATACATTGGATTAATAATATATTCAATGTAAATAAATTAATTACTCTCTGATTAATTGAGTACAAATTCATTTTATTATTAAGTTAAAAGATTAAAATGTAGGGTCCAAAAATCAACGCGGACTCATAAATGAAGTCAAAGTAGTGAAGCATGCATGTGTGATCTTGTGGAAAGTTGACTTTTCTCGTTTAATGTGTTTAATGAATTTTGGTATTATTTGGTGTCGTGGGCCACGTGAAGTAATCGTAATAATGGAACTACAATTATTTATTACACCAAAATTGATTGAGGGTGAGGGCAAGAACAAAGAAAGGAAAATTTCGTAGCAATTATCATTGTGATCAATTAAGGTTATTAAATATATTATTCAAAAGATTTTAAATTTGATTTATTTTAACTCTTAATAAAAGTGATAATTAGAGTCTGAAGATTTATTTATTTATTAATTTTAGGGTCCTAAAAAATTAAGTGAGACGCCCATAACTTGATAGAGATACTTTTAATCATTAAAAAAAAAAATTATACTAACCTTTTACAGGAGATTCTGATTTTGTGATTTTGCCCAATTGTTATTATTAAGAAAGTAGGTATTTGGAAGAGAGATTTGGTCAAAGTCTTCCCTGGCCCTCCCATGTTAAAAATAATTGAGTAATTTATCATCAAGGATTATTATTATCAGGAGAAAGAAACATTAAATTAAAAATAAAAAGTAAGCATCAACATGTATAATTAAAATGAATAATCTAGAACAAGATATGAATATTATTATACTGACAAATATGAGTAATTAATATGAATAATATTATATTAACAAATATTTTTTACTAATATTTTTTTACAAATACGATATGTCATCCCACAATTAATCAATTTGTACATGTCTCATTTATCTAATAATAGGCCACCAATTCAATTACAAGTTATCATATGGGTTAATGTAAAGCGGTACTGAGAGGTTTTAGTGAAACTGGTATTATTAAATTAAAATTAGGATAGCGTTAGGTGTACAAGATTTTATTTGATCGAGGTCAATGACTTACTGTAAGTTGACCACGTGAGGCATAGGTCAACTTAGTCCTCGTGTTAGGTGACCTGGCACAGTAAACTGGACAGAACCAATAATGTTGTTATTATAATTACCAATTTGATTTACTTCCTAATTAGATACTAAAAAGAATTGAGATATAATCCAGTATAGTTCAAAATATTGGGAATACTATTATTAGTAAAAAATTAAACAGTAAAATATTATTATTCTTAAAATATTATTTTATATTATTTAATTTTGTTTAAACTTTTTAAATTTTTTAATTTAACTAAACACTTCCAAATATTTTTTTTAAAAATTACAAAAACACTCCGACCACTCTCCGGCAGTGGTAGTCGACTGTCCGTATTTAATGGGTGGACTGAGAGTGCTTTTGTTAACTTTTAATATTTTATTATAGGGGTGTTTAGTAAATAAACAAACATAAGGGATATTTTTATTAATTTTTAAATCCTACATTATAATACCAGCCCAAATTTAATTTTTTTCAAAAGATTATTCTAAAAACTATCAGAATAGTGAACCAAATGGAGCCTAATGATTTAGGATAGTAGAAACCAGTCTATGTCAAATTTGGTTAACTAATAATTAACTAGGATGCTAATTATATCATAATCTGTCTTGTTAAACCTTGTCGTGCCAATCATAGAAATGACATACCTTAACAGCAACGGACATGGTTTCCCTATATCTTCAAACATAGGCTGAATAATTAATTTCAATCCATTAAATTACTATTATTTTAGAATTTATTCTCTCATTCATTAATTAAAATCTTTGTTGATGCTTGATTTTAACATCAATAACCTCACACGGCACGTGCAAAGTACTAAGCAAGTCTTCGAAATTACACGTGTTTAATTTGTGAGTCAGGACAAGGTTACAAACACAATTGAATGCAAAGACTTAATAATAAATAAGACAGAAAATTTTTATAGTGGTTCAGATGGTTAAAACAATTCCTACATCCACTGTTTCTTTTATATAAATGTGTTACAAGAGATAGTATATAGCGAACAACGAACAAAGGTACAATGAATGTGTACTCAAAGAGAATATTAAGTCAGTCTCTTTCTCGTAGGTTGTCTTTGCTATTGATTGTTATGAAAATCAAAGATTGATCGATCCCGAATTTGTGAGGGAGAGTCCTCTATTTATAGCTGTTGAATTCAAGGTAATGATTACAAGTCTGTAAGTGGGTAAGTGTCATGCAAGTCCTTTCTTACCTCCCATTGGCTGATAACTTAAAAAATATCCTCTAATTATCTAGGGCTTGGACAAGTGTGCGGTCCCCATTCACTCATAGACAAAACTTGAATCTGCTAGGTTGGTGACAGTTGTATCCTCTATGTCTTGGGGTGACGTGGCAGCTCCTAGACGACACAAAACCTTCCTAAAATCTTATTGGTGCTCGCTGATGTAAGCTTACGTCAGCCTTGATTTTTTAGGCATAATAGAAGCTCTCCAGTTCGTAAGATTCAAGGAATTGGATCTTAAGAACTTCATGATTACGTCGTGACCTGACTTGTCTTCATAAATGTTTGCTCGAGTTGAAAGCTGAGAATAGTCACATCGTTTAAGGCAACCTAAAGCTGATTGCTTGATATGACCAATGAACTGAGTGTAGGTCATAATCTAGACTGAGAGTAACACCAGCGACCTGATGTGATTGTTTACAAAGGTCCGTCGACCTAATTCTGATCTTGTCTTATGCTATCAAGATGTGTTTTGAACCCCATTTGTCATTCACGACCTGAAAACACTTAGAACATTTCACTGTTGAAAACTAAGAATCATTTTGTTTGGTGTTCAAGTCTGACATGTTGAACAAATGTATTTTTCGAACAACCTCTTCAGATGTTATTTGTTGCACTTGACAACTGGCTTGGTCAATAAGACAAACCTTATCTGACAGACTTGTCTCTGCGCACAATAAGTGTCAGCCATGAGCATTAAATGCAAGTCATGCTGAAAGACATTCCTTTTTGAAGCATTAAATGCGAATAAGGACACATTTAATGTGAAGGAGATAATCACACTGGTGCTTGGCAATTTTGATAAAGAACTACGTCGGTTGATTTTCACAAAGCGTGGGGGTTACTCTTCGCACGGATTGACGACACGTGGTCGCAATCAATGACTAGGAGCGTGTTCTTGCCCAAACGTCGCTCATAAAAGAAATCAAGCATCGTCTTCCACCTTATAAAACCTTAAGGTTACCCTAAGTTTTTAGAGAACTCAGATTCTTCAGAGAGAAAAACAATGTTTTCAAGCTACTAAAATCTATTCTTCTCCTTCCAGTTAATGCGAACTCAACGCTACGACAGAGCACCCGTTCCTACCAACCAATAGGCAAGGAAACTTATCCCTTTTTTTTTTTTTTTTTTTTTTCCATTTCTGCAAAAGCTTACTTTTTACAGTTATGGGGGCTATAGGCGTCTGGTAGGCTTAGATGATGGACATTTCTGGGTAGTGTTCAAAGAAACACTTTTAGAAATTCAAAACTTAGGGCAAAAAGCTTTAGAAGATTATTCTTAAGAGTTTCTATAGGGGCTTTGACGGCTATGGAAGAGAAACTAGGGTTCTTTTACTCTTTTGAGTCATCGTACGAGGAATATTATTCAGGGTTTGAGTCACCCCTACATGTCACACCTTTACAAACTCAAAGGGCAATGAAGCTCCTTAAGACAAGAACAGCTGGAGAGGGGAGCTTGCAACCACCAGGCACCTCGACAGGTCTCGAAAAGGTGATACGATCTACCACCTCAGCAGAAGAGATCCAAAGTGTAATAGATCAATATGTGATCAACATGGACATGTATCAACATAGGTCACACATTGCTTAGGATCCTCTCGAGGGAATGGCTGCAATCTCGGAAGCCATTTTCAAATGTGGAGTGAGGATACCCCTCCACCCCTACATCAGATCGATCCTCGACCACTTCTAGGTTGCGCCATTCCAGTTGACACCAAATGCATGTATGATAGTTGTCACTATGTATATAGCTTTTGGCAAGCATGACCTCAGTGAGCCGACGGCGTAAGAGCTCGCTTGCGCTTATATCCTAAAGAAAAGTAAGGACAATGACTTGTATTACCTTTCCAAGCGATCAATGATCGAGAGAGAGATATTTGGTTACCCTAGCAACGTGGGGGCTTACGAAACCAAATATTTTTTCTTCAAGTATGAAATTGTCTATAAATTTACGGAATCGAGTAGGTTTTCCTTTCAATTTTCAGGTCGTTCACCCTTTAACCTTAATTATTTTTTAGACAATAAGCTAACGAACTCTTTTTTTTCTTTGCAGAAAACAAAATGACCAGATTGACGGTGCTAGCTGATCGCAGCCGCTTCAAAACATTTGGTCAACTGTTTGACTAAAGTCATGATGCAAGACTGCTTGTGACAACCAAAAATCTCTGGAAGTATGGATTTTTTCCTCACGACTCATACTTAGACGATTCAGCTCATAAGTATTTCTCAAATAGAAAAACCCAAGTCTTTCAATAAAATTAGACTATTTTTCCTGACTTGTTTGTATGCTATGCAACATCCATGCAACTAAAGAAGTCTAAGATGTCTAAGAAGTCTGCGGGATTCACCTTCCCTGGACTAAACCCAACTGGAATAACTGGAGTGACCTCCAATGATGTCCTTGTAACGAGGACACAAGCTAGTGCCGAAAGGTAACCACCCATGGAGCGACATGAAGAAGCTCTCTAGACTGTTGCTGCTCGTCTGAAGAGGAAGAAAACCATAGCCTCGAAGACGAAGAAGAGGAAAACAATACCAACCGAAGAATCCGAATCTGAATCAGAATCAGAAGGCTTCAGAATATTTTCGGGTGGGCTACAGCCTTACTGAATTCCCACTTTGAGGGCCACCTCAAAGGACGCTCCACAGACTTCGCACACCCCAGGGACTTCACAAGGAAATGAGGGTTTGGCCACTCAGGAGGGAATTGGCGAAAAACAAGCCTAAGAGGTCTTTTCCACAGGGAAGCATGATCAGTCCGTATTGGACCTCTTAGGGCAAATGTCAAACCATCTAAGGCCAGTGGTCTTAACCCTTCTAGAATGCCGATTGGCATCAACCTTTGAGGAGTACGTTGCCTTGCAACCTTCCGACCTAATGGCCATTGCTCTTCAAATGCAAAGTCAAGTAAGACAACTCTTTCTCCAAACGAACTCTTTTATACAAGTCAATTCTTTAGTTTAAAAACTAACTCTTTATCCTTTTCTTGTAGTCTTTGCTCGCTTTGAACGTTGGTCACAACAAATTGAAGGATCAACTCCTCTGGAAAGCTTCATGAAATGAAGGAGGAGGTCACTAAGTTGAAGCAAGCTCTTGCAACTTCAAATGAAGTTGCAAATAATGCTCAAGTTTAAGTAAACATATACCTGACAAAAAGGAACTCTACTCTGCGAACAGTAGAGTTTTAGAAGAACAAGCTTCTAGAAAAAGGATGACAACACCAAAGAGCTTCATAACAATAGCAAAGCTCACTAAAGAGTTGGGCCAAAGAGAAAAAGAGCTGCAAGAGAGCATAGAGAGCGAGAAGGCAATGGAAAAGACCCGAGTTGAGTTATGGGACAACTCAGAAAGAGACAAAAGGGCGAGAAAAACAAATCTCGAGATAGCTCATGGGCGGATCACTTTGCTGACAGAGCAGATGAAGCAATTGAATCTCGAGGTGGAAAGGAAGGTTGCTTATTAGGCACTGCAAGCCATTCACAGCTTGCGGCCAAACAATCCCAACTTAGACATTTCCAACTTGCTCGAGGAGTATCAAGTAACTCTTGCTTCAATGATGTTTGCCAAAGAGCAAGAGGATCAAGAATCTGCCCAAAAGAAAGATCAACAAGAAACAAAAGTTCCTGAAGATCAAGCAAACGACCCTAAGGTCGTAGTGACCCAAGATAGGGACTCTGAAGTCCAGAACAAATGATCGACCTCTTTTTTGTCTATTCGTCTGTTTGCTCATAAAAAGTATTTTTTATCTTCGCTTTTCATTATAGCTCTTGGTTGTCCATTGTACATATTTTTGCAATATATAAATACACTTTTGACCATTTGTGATAACACTTTTATAATTTAAGCACTTCACATAACAAACACAACTTTTCTTATTGCAAAACTTGTAAAATATTGTAAATAATAAGATTATTAAAACTTGAGATTACGACGTAAGTAATTCTTGGAGAAGAAATGAGATAATCTTATTCATGATATTTACAATAAGAAAAATTTACAAGTAGAACTGATCGTTTAAGCTATACAAGAGTTTGGAGTTACTGATAATAAGGGCGTAGATACTCAACATTCCAAGCTCGCGGTACTTAAGAACCATCAAGCCTTTTGAGATGACACGTTCCAGTTTGTATCACCGTAGTGACATGATATAGGCCTTCCAATTAGGTCTCAATACCTCCGCACTTGGTTTTCTTGTATCGAAAAAGACTTCTTTTAAAATCAGGTCGTCAACCCAAAAGTCTCTTCTCCTGACTTTAGAGTTGAAGAATCTTTTTACTCGTTGCTGGTAGAAAGCTATCCTTAACCGAGCTTTGTTGTGGTGTTCTTCAACTAAGTCTAGACTTACACACAAAATGCTTCATTGTCTAATTCATTGTAGAATTCTCTCCGAAGTGAACCAGTTTCTACTTCCACTAAGACCATTGTCTCACAGTCATATGCTAGCAAGAAAGGTGTTTTTGATGTAGAAGTCCTCAAAGTTGTTCTATATGCCCATAGAAATTTTGGGAGGTCATCGGCCCAATTGCCCTTGGCTACGCCAAGCTTGGCCTTCAATATGTGCTTGATAGTCTTGTTGACAACTTCAACTTGATCATTAGCTCGCGGTCTTGCTATTAAGGCGAATTTCTTATGAATCCCCAACTCTTCACAAAACTGCTTGAAATCCTCATTGTCGAACTGTTTTCCATTATCAGAGATGAGTGTATGAGGAATTCCATAGTGACACACTATGTTCTTGAAGACGAAGTCTTTGAGCTTCTTGGTAGTGATCGCGACCAAAGGTTGATGCTTGATTTTGACACCAACGACCTCACACATGCAAAGTGCTAAGCAAGTCTCAGAAATTACACGTGTTTAATTTGTGAATTAGGATAAGGTTATAAACACAATTGAATGCAAAGACTTAATAATAAATAAGACAAAGGATTTTTATAGTGGTTCTCAGATGCTTAAAGCGATTCATACGTCTACTGTTTCTTTTATATAAATGTATTACAAGAGGTTGCATATATCGAACAACGAACAGAGGTACAATGACTGTGTACTCAAAGAGAATATTAAGCTAGTCTCTTTCTCGTAAGTTGTCTTTGCTATTGATTGTTATGAAAATCAAAGATTGATCGATCCCGAATTTGTAAGGAGAAGCCCTCTATTTATAGTTGCTGAATTCAAGGTAATGATTACAAGTCTACAAGTGGGTAGGTGTCGTGCAAGTCCTTCCTTGCCTCCCATTGGTTGATAACTTAGGAAATATCCTCAAATTATCTGGGGTTTGGACAGGTGTGTTTCTCCATTCACTCATAGACAAAACCTGAATCTGCTGGGTTGGTGACAACCGTATCTTCTCTGTCTTGGGGCGACGTGGCAACTCCTAGATGGCGCAAAACCTTCCTAAACTTTGATTGGTACTCGCTGATGTAAGCTTACGTCAACCCTGATTTTTTAGGCATAACAACCTTCAACATTTGTTTCTTTGGTCAAGAATACATAAAGTTAACCCTAAGGGTTAGTCTGGCGGTCAAGAATGTTTATTCTTTTCATTGGGTTCAAACCATCTTGAAGCCACTTATCACATTTGTGATTTACTAGAGCATTGAGCTTGTAAGTTGTTCAATGAACCCTAGAGATTAGTTGAGCTGCACATAAATTGACCCAAACACTCTAGCCATTAAATAAAAAAATAAAAAAAATAAAAAAAAATACATAGAGTTGATTTGGCCGCTTCTTTGGAATGCAACTCCAGCCTGTGTTGCATTCCCAAATATCAAATCTAGTGCTACCATTGCCCATGGAAGATTGACATTGGTAAGAGATAGTGTACACAACTCCGTATATGTTGATTCCTGCATTTGGGAAGTCACGAATACCAAAGAAGCTCCCATGAAAGGAGTCCATAGAATTGGAACAGCGGCCATCACCTAAAAAATCAATCTTTACTGTGTATTCCGCATATGGAGCCTGGAAGTGATTCAGAAATTTAATATACAAACCAGAATTGAGATTGCTCCAAAGATTGGAAGTCTGCAGTCCTCTTATCGAAAGGCCCTCTCTCTAGTGAAACAACATATTTGCTTTTTAAGTATTTTAACTTGAATCAGTGTCAGATGCCAATCGAACTAAATATTATTCCATTTTTATTGAAACAAAGTTTAAAATCCTCAAATCAAAACATGTTACCATGGCCAAAAAATATACTTTATACAATATAATTATATAAACAGACCACTCCATAAGTCTTGCTTACGGGCGGTAGAGAGCGATAATATCGGATAAAACAAACCAAACACATAGCATCAGAAAAGCAAAGCTCAAACATTAAACTTTATACAATATAATTATATGAATTTAAAGAGTACTCTGCTGGCGGGTTTGTGAGATCATACTCGCATGAAAAGAAACAGAGTGAAAATATCTAGTCATTCATTCATTTATCCTGAAATAATGCTTTATCTTGAGTGTATTTTGATTTCAGCAGCTTCATTGTCATCAGCTCCTCAATTCACCAGTGTACATGTTTCTCCAACCATTATTCTATCAAAAACAAAATTATCTTTTCTGATAAAACTTATTATATAATGATTAGGATATCTCAAACTTAGAGTTGAATCCTTTCAAGATTTCTATGGTTACAAATAGATAGAGTTGATTTGGTCATGCAAAGATGTATTTGATTTTCATCTAATGCAAAGAAATGTAGCTAATTAACGGCCGTCAAGGCGATAACTTCTTCCTCGGAAAGCAACTCCATCAGCTGCTGCATTGGCATTGGGTTGCTGTGGCTGCTGCTCTGGGGCAGGGCTGCTACTTGAACTTGATCTGTTTCCATTCAGACGGTAGCTTCTTCCTCGGAATGTAACTCCGGCATGTGGATTGCGCTGCACCGGGGAGTTTATTTGGACGCCCTCCCCCCAATATGCAACTAGTTTGTGACTTAATAACCATTAAAGATCACTTTTATTAAGTTTGTGACTGGAGGATTATGACTAAAAGTTAAAAAGCAAATAAAACTGGAAAAGGATACACCCAGAGAGGAGTCTTGAATACGTATTTTCCACCGGCAAGAGGATGAAGAACTGTTAGGAAGTAATAAATATGTCCTGCAACCATACCAAGAATATCCGGCAGTAATGGATTCCCAAATATCAAATCCAGTGCCAGCATTGCCCAAGGAAGATAGAACCCCTGTCCATTATTACAAGTTATATACATGCATCGTTTCAATTTACATTCTTAAATCAGCCAAGAAAAACCATTAGCTAATTGGCTAGAACAAGTTTTAACTGGTAAGAGATAGTGTAACCTTCAAGGACACAACTCCATATATGTTGATTCGAGCATTTGGGAACTCACGGCCCCAAATATAGACAATCATAAATACCAAGGAAGCTCCCATGAAAGGAGTCCATAGAACTGGAACAACAGCCATCACCTAAAAATAGAAACACTACTTTGTTAATGCTTTTATTGTATGCTCGTATTACCATATAAAATTTTACAATAATACTAGCCTCACTAACATCTCTCACTAACACATCTCACTAACCCTATGTAGCAATTTGCAATTGGCTTGGTCAAACGGGATCTATTGTTGAACAGACGGAACCCATTACGAGCCAACACATGGCGTTTATGAGAGAAAGTTAGTGAAAAGTATATGTGAGTGTAGTATTACTCAAAATTATAAGGTTGTCAAAAGAAATTTGCAAAAAAAAAAAACAAAAAAAAAAAAAACAACAACATTGGATATATTCTAGTGCCACTTGTATGAACTTTTTTCTCGTTGGTAAAGTATGTATGTGATCTAATAACAAGAAAAAGTGTACCAGAAGTGAGATTGCCCCAAAGATTAGCATCCATAGGAAGTCTGCAGTCCTCTTGTCGAAAGGCCCTCTCTCTAACGAAACACCATATTTTGCTCTACGCAATTTATCTCAAGTATTAGGTGTCAATTAAAATAAAATAAAAAACACTTAGTTTGCAGTGAAACACAGATTACAAACCTTGAATCTGCAGTTAATGTATAAAAACAGTTTAAAAAATCCATACATATGAATCAAGAAACATATTATATCTGGGGATTGTAGGAGGTATTTTTCCAGCAAAAATATCATATTTGTTAAAGCAAGTGATATCTTGCTGGAAACATGAGAAAGTGATCTAAAGGCTTGCCCGATCTAAAGCTTCAGATCAAATGTACAAGATAAGATGGATGCGAGCTGTAGGATGATGTGATTAGTAACGATCTGAAAAGGATGTGACCTAAAGGGCATGCAATCTGGAAGAAGCGATCAGAAGGTAATGCGACCTAGAAGCAATGCAAGATGGAATCCATGCGACCAAATGTGCATGTGATCAGAAGCATTATGCGACTTGAAGGAGGTCGATGATACAGAGCCGATCTAGGTGTTAAGAGTTGGTCAACTACCTAGAGTGGATTAGCTGACGTTTAGGGATGTTAAATCTGATAGATTTTGCAATAGTTAAAAAATGTATGACTCTATGATAATATTTGGTAAATATCTCTGCAGACTAGGTTAGCATTTAATGCTTTATAGAGTTAGCATGTCCGTAATGTATATGATGATGTAATCAGCTTCTATATAAGCTTGGTTTATGATTAATGAAAGATAAGACAAGTAATACAAGTCAAGAAAGACGGAAAAAACACTTAGCAAACATTCTCTGGAAACTTGTCTCTGAGAATATCTGTGCGTTCTTTCATCTGTATTCTCCAGCTTGTAAACCAATAATATTTTATCAGTAAATTGTGTCCTACTTTCTTTCTTCACATTAAGCCTAGAAAGTAAAGTTATCATATATAGAAGCAAGTACAATCACTCAGTGTGGCAGCGTAATTGTAAGCCATACGATGATTAAAGGATCCAAAGAATTGGTTTTCTTACATTATGATGAGACGAAATGCGAAAGGAAATGAAAATGGTCCAAGGAAGAAGAAATTGGTAATAAGCCTCCAAACCTGCACTACCAGCAAATATTTGTGATATATCAAGTATACTTGAGCTCTGAGCAATCCTTATATTGTCTATACAAATTGACAATCAACCGATTTAATTACCTGAAAACGTTTACACACATCTTCATATTGGAGAGCTATGTTCCAAATATTAAAAAGATTTAAACTTTGAGCAGCTGTAGTAATTAAACAGATCACTCCAAAAGTCTTGCTCACTGGTGGCAAAGAGCGATAAAATCTGCAAATAGTTTGGACACAGGTTTAGATGCTCATAATAAGTAAAGTATATAAATATATTTCAACAACAACTTTTATGCAACATGGAAACATAACTAATTGCCATCGAGTATATGAATATAAGAGAAACAACAGATATGATATATTACTCTGCTGGTGTAGACATTGCAACAAGTCTGAGTTATTGTTTGGCAGGTTGAAGGTGAAGGTGGTTGTTATGGGGTTGGTGCATTGAGTATTCCAAAGACGAAATTGTGGGTTCTTGCAATTTCTGAGAAGTCAAGTGAAGACTTTTGGCTACGCCAGTCTTTCCATAATGTGACCAGTGTGAACGGTTTAAATTCATGGAAATCATCTCCACCCTCGGAATTTCTTCTTGTCAATTAATGATGAAGTCAGAGGTCAATTTCTAGCACTATCTGGACCCATTTGGGACGGAGCGAAGTCCAGGAATGACTGAAAATTCAATCCAAAATTGATCATTTTGGCCAATCGAATTTTATCTCATTTTTTAAATTCCAATTTAATTTGTTTCAAATTCATTGGTAAACAAGAAATGTCATTTCTCATATGAATTATTATAAATTTCTCATACTTGTAAGTAATTGTATGAGCTTCACTCATTCATGTAGCTGAATCAATGCAATTGAATTTGAATCAATCCTTTTCGGCTTAAATTAACATTTAAAATTGAACCCAATTGCGTTTAAGCTTAGTTTAGATTGCATTGAACACTTTTAGTAGGCAAATACTATACAACCCTCCAGAGCAAAAAGTTGGAGGGAACTTCAGAACTTGAAGGTTTATTAACTGCGATTTCCGAAACATAAAATTAAACTTCAAATCGATGCCATTAGAGACAACACAAAACTCTATAGATTTTAGAACTCCTTCTGGATATGTTACAAAAAACATATCAATTGAAATTAGCTGAGTGTTGCACATAGGTATATTGGAGATTCTTTGTAGAAACTCTTGCATGTGGTCGTCTACTAAACTTCGGGACCGGATGCAAATAAGCTAATAAGGCCTTGGAATACTTGAGCAGAGAGTTGGTGTGCTCGAAAGACCTCACCATCTAAATTCCAGACACTTTCATTTCCAGAAGAAGTAAATGTGAAAGCCGGAGTCTGTAGAAAAAATAGGAAGTAAATGATGGATATTCTGGAAGAACAAGAACCATGAAAGATTTTAAGAAAAGTACCTTGTGATGTTCCACGAACTCGAAGTTGAGGGGGTTTCCACCTTTCCTTGCAAGCTCGGTCAAGTGCCTGTAGGTATCATTGATGATGTAATTCAGATAATCTACAACAAATTAAGAGTCGATACCAGATTATAACAACACAAGAAGAAAAAACACTTGAAAATGAAATAAAGTATACACAATATAGTCCCACCAAGATATACATGTCAATTGATTTTAAAGAGGCATATGATTGTGTATCATCTCGATTTTACCTATCACTTTGAACAACAGAATTATTTATATCAATAGATGGATGAAGTTTTCAAATCTTAAAACAGAGTTTGTAACATCATTAAAATATCCAGGAAACATATCACACCACTTTAACAATTATTTCTTATCCACATTTAAATGCAAAAGACCTACTAAGATATAATCAGGTCACTGATTTTTAATGTCTTATTGTAGTTAATTAACTGCTTTATTACTTAAGAAGCAACTCTAATGTATTTAATAAAAATGAAAACACGCCTAATATTTTTGAAAAAAAGCATTCCAAGAGAAGACAAGAATTTTTATAATAAAGTTCAATCTAAAGAGAGAAAAAGAGAGGCTTTATGTTACCATAAATATAAAGCATGAGGACAGTCTTTAATCAATATGAGATGCAATAGGCCATCTGAAAGGTGTGCATCAACCACCAAACCATCAGGTGCTCTTTCATTACGGTTAGAGATTACGGCAGCGCCAATACTAAGAAAACGTCCTTTGGATCGCGACCATCTTGTTTCTTCAGGACGGGAGTATGGTGTTGGACGACTTGACTTTTTGTTGCAGATGTTGCAATTTGTTCGACAAATCACTCTCTCAGATTTATTTGGACTTCCTGATGTCTGTAATCTACCAAATCGACGACCTCTATCAGGAATTGTATTTGTCTTTCCTGATTCAACTTCAAGGTAAGCTATTTCTGCTTCATATGACCTAAAAGGAAAAAGACAAAAATTATTATAGCTTAGCAAAACTGTTAACCATTCAAACGAAAACCTAATAACACATGCAATAAAGAACTGGTTCTTTAGTTGTGGTGACTCGTTAAGAAATATAAACCTACTAGGAGCTTACCTGTGTCTCAAAAACACTTTTGTTCCTGCATAATCATATCGCTTTGGGCCCATCCACCGATATTTTTCACTCTCAGTAATCACATCTCCATAAAATCCATACCTGATAAACATGAAGCACATGAATTCAGAAGAGGAAAAGCATTTAACTTTGCTTGAATATAATTTTACCAGATGAGGTTAAAAAGATCATCACATGAAAGGAGAAAAAGGATGGCATAAGTAATTACAAAGGTGAAGGAGAAACCAGACCTTACAGTACAAGTACAGATATCAAACTTCAGGGTGGGATCATACTAAGTACTGGGAAGAGTACTTCAGCAACAAATACAACTCTAAAGAAAGGTGCTTTTGATAAATTAAATAAATAATATACTACAAGTAAAGAAATCAAACTTCAGGGGGCAGACTCAAGTACTGGAGGATATAGTAATCCAGTAATAAGAAAAAACAAAGGTGCTTTGTATAATTGAATAAAATAATATACTAAAGCTTGACCACAGAGACAATATTTCCATTAGAAACATGGAGAAGTGCAATGCTGAAAAAATAAAGTTATGTGTGACAGCTTCTTGCAGTAAGACATCAACAAAATTCACTTCACAGAATTTCAACAAATATTTTGGTGCACACATAAATTAGACAGTTCTTTCTTTCTTTCTTTTTCCTAAAATCTTTTTATTCAAGTGTACATTTAAATAAATAAAATGAAAACATATACCAAAATAGCCATCCTAGGAGTTAATACTTATTTGCAAGCCTATTAGCAGCATACTGGCCATAGATTAAGCATAATGCCATATAGAAAGAAATCAGATACCAGAATGGTTATATAAAATCTACTCATATAATTAGGCATCAATAACAATAAAAAACTACCCAGCAAAAGAAGCCGCATATCGTACACGAGGTTCAACCTTTGATGCAGCTGTTTCTCTCCAACTCACAATTTGAGCTATATCAAGGCACACCCTTTTTCCCAGGACAATGTGCAGTGCAGATGTTACAGGATCTCGAGCTCCAGTAGTACTGCAAAAAGAGCAATACAATGCACCATTCATAAAAACCAGGAAACATTATTACATGAAATACTGGAAAAGCTGATTAAAAATGGTTCCATGGATGGTTATTGTCAATATACATTTAAGATCCATTGAAAGCCATAGAATAAAAAAGAAATGTTGACTATGAAAAAGAGAGTAATTTGAAAATTCACTTTCAGCAAGCATGCCCGTGATAACAAATGCACCTTGGTATGGGCATGCAAATGCTATAAACAGGAAATTTGTTTAAATTTAATTAAAGCTCAGGGGAGCTCAACGAAATCTAACAAAAAAATAAATGAGAAAATATATGTTCACACAATGTTCACAGACCAAGTTCCATGTACACTCACATAGAATGAAAAAAGAGTCATGCCCTAAAAAGAACCAAATGAATCAAGAAAATACCACATCACTATGGCATCAGTTGAACCAGCAGGAATGATTCCAAACCTAAACCATTCCTTGGGGTAGGGAAACTCAGAATCTTGAACTGTTCAGTGATCAAATCAACAAAAAAGTAATTGTAAGATACCAGGAGTACATAAACAGATAACTGAACGAAAAAGATTAACAAAAGAGAAGGTAAAAAGCTGCAATAAACAAACACCATAATGAACTAAAATTAGTTTGATTTGTAAAAGACATGGGATAACTAAATGTGTTGGAAGAACCAACTGCAGTTCCTCTATTCAAGATAAACCCGGTTATATGTCAGATAAACACCCATGCCAACAAAAAAATAAAACTTAAAACCTAACTAGATCTTACTGTACGTACAGAAATTTGATAATCCTGACCCATTATGTTGTGAACTTGGCAAACAAGGATACTGGCCATCATTCTGATCAAAAACCTCAGCAACTTTTTCATCAGGATTGTGAACTAAAGAACATTCATTGCTCCAAACAGAATGAACAAAATCTGATGGGGCTGGTGGATAAGGAGCTTTATATCTTGAAGAAAGATAGCCATTAAGGATTTCATTGAACAAACCATCTCCACCCTGAAACCAAATCAACAAGCAAACAAACAATAATTAGAAAATAAAACTGAGAAAAATGCTTGGAACTTAGTAAATTAGAGACATAGATCAAACATAAAAAATCAACACATGTACATAAACCCATTGACAGGAGGAAACCATCACCAGAGAACAACCAAAAACCAATGCCAGAAACAGGTCACAGCCACATTATAACTTAGAAAAAGCTTGAACTACAAATGATACAGATTAAACTTTCTGAGAATAGAAAACATGATGTAGGGGAGGTAGGTTAAATGAAACCCAGACCATGACTTCAAAATTCCACACAAGATGTTCACTTGAGCTTTATAGTATTAAAACTTTATAGTCCGCCGGGGGATAGTGCACAACCAAATGGTTCATATGGGAAAAACTTCATACGAACAACAATACCCCTTAAGATAAGGTATTAGCAACTACCTAAATCTAGTATCATGTCACAACATCAAATATTAATTTGTTGGAGTGGTAATACCCAGCAATAAACATTTTTTCTTCAAAATGGCATTATGATGAGGTAATAGTTTTTCTTCAAAAAAGTTGTGATACATTTTACACCTCTCTTGATCAGTGGAAGTTGAAAACAAATATAGCAGTTGGAGTTGTTAACAATTTGATTATGAAGTTGCCTACTAACAATCAACGCTAAAAAGAAAGGTCACTAACTTTTTTTCTTCTTGCAATACTTATTTTGGGTGCTTAGCTGGTGCACCACCAAACTCTACCTACCAAAACCAATACCACCACCGAACATAAACATGTTGTTTGCCAACATTGATCCAATTCTCTAACCTCTTTTGGTGTTCTTGACAGCATAATATTATTGGACCAATTATCAGTAAAAGTGAGCACTCTTTCAAACTAAATGAGCTTGAAAATAAACGGGCCTCAGTTAGCATCATAGATAAGCCAATAAAATAAGATTATGTAATTGTTACCTCCTCTATTCTTCATACATGAATTTCCATCACATACTGTGGCAATGTGTCACATTATTTCCTTCTTTATTTTCTTTTTGTTTTCCCTATTTCTCACCAAAAATAGGTGCCCACAGTTTATTCCATGCCACTACTGGGACACTAAGTATGCAAGATATGTTTGTGAAGGGCTTTCATGACTTACAACAGCTATAACACCATCATATGAGTTAAGCTCCTTGTTTGTAGTAGATGCCATCACATCAAATGCATGTCCTGCCTTCTCTGTAACAACCACCTGACAAAGAAGGTAAATAATTAATGTAAGACACAGCACAATTTTCCCAATTACATTCATTTGGTACTGAACCTTGTACTCATGACTAGAGTAATCTTCATCCCCATGAGAAATTAAACAGATTTTGACAGAAAATATACTATGTCATCCAAGCACTGAGGCTACATATCACATTAATCTTTGTCTGGCAAGCTCTTTCATTAGTCATACCAAGTTTAGCCCATGCCCATTCATAGTGCAGTTGAACAGTACCATTAAAAGTTATAATCAAATAAAAAAGGCAGTAATACAATAACAGCATTGCCAAAAGTTATAATCAAATAAAAAAGGCAGTAATACAATAACAGCATTGCCAAAAATTTTCCTATGAAAATTCCAAATGTTCATTTAGGATTGTTGGTAAATCTAATTGGCCAAACATATTTGAGGTTTCATTGCACAATCTGCTGTCTAAGCTCTCAGAGGTTAATCAACAATCAAATTGTAAACTCTTTCACCTGTAATGAATATTCGGAGAGATAATCAAAGTGGTTGAAATGATTTCAAAATTTCAAATTGAGAACCATACATTCCAATTTGAACACTTCCCCAGACAGATAGAACCTTAAGCTCACAAAAATGAGACTTAGACAAAATCCAGATGCCAAAATGCATTACATCATAACTAGGTAGTAATAGATAAATGTAAATTTCTATACACACTAACAGAATATTGTAATGCTATGACTTGAGAAACATCCATGGAATCTTTAGGTATGCTTTGAAATTACCATTGTCTTAATTTTAGCACGTGCAAATATAGGAGCCACAATTTCCCAGGTTCTACGGCCATTAGTCTTCCCACTCAATGGATTAACGAAAACCTGTCAATCAGAAAAAATTCTGGAGACAACTTTACTACTGATTTCAATTCATTTCATCAAGTAAAAATGAATATATACAAGCAAAACAAATGGTCTTCAATCAAGAACAGTACATACCAGAAGATTCTTTGGTCTTCCCACTTCTAAATTTAAAGAAGCATTAAGTCGATTCACCCACATCTCACATGTTGGCAGATCCTTGTGACCAAAGGTGTACACAGCCAAGACCCAAAGATTTGGCTGTGTTTTTGACTTTTGGAAACCATGCACCGTAAAGCGGAACATCTGAACCAGAATATAAAATATGCCATCCGTAAGTACAATAACCATATGAGAATAAAAACACATAAATTAGAATTAGAATGAGATCGAACCTCAGAATCAAGAGACTCACGTCCCAACAACTTATTTCCTGCATTTGGACGATTCACTTTATGAATTGAACCATAGTTGGTTAACTCAACAGCATAGACATCAGAAAATTTGATTTCAGTTGGAAGTTTAGCACTAAATTTAATTTTCAAACACGATGATCCATCCTGTTCAAGTAAATACAAGTGAGCCATCACATATTGAAAGTGAAACTACTCACCAACATCAGTACTAAATAGTAAGAGAATTTATCTTAATATCCATGGAATTTACACCAAACTAAGATAAACATTTGCTTCTTAGAGGCAAAAGAAAAAGAAAAATGGTGCGGCCTACTCAGGTAGACCGTTAAAGAACATAAAATAAATATTTAATAGCTGATAGGCTAATATACATAATTTAGTATAATGAAAATGAATCAAATTCAAAATGGACAAATGGGATTTAAATAAACTAGAGACCACCATACAAAACCTAATTTCCACGAACAAATGTATTTCAACAATTCAAAACCTGAGATAAAGCTTGTTCAGAAACTTTGGAAAAGAAGCAAGGTCAAAACTCAAAATATGCTTTCCAGATTTCCAACATTGGTCATCAAGTTCAAGTCTCTAAATTGCATCAAAACACATAAAATCATTCAACAAAAATTGCATCCAAATGATACCCAACAAAATTCAAAGATTTCCCAACTCATATAACCATAGAACATGAAAAAAAACAAAAAAACAATAATTAATTGAATACAAAAATATGAGATATTTATTTAAAAGAAAAAGAAAAATTACATTATCAAAGGAAGTGAGGGGTTTCCAGGACAAGCCATCTGAATTATGAGTGAGAAGAACTTCTCCAACATGATCTAAGAAAACGCTTGAATTCAAAATGGGTGCTTCACAATCACCTTCTTCAACCGCTAATTCATTTTCTACGATATTATTATCTCCGTTAATCTCCATCGACCCAAAAAAAAAAAAAAAAAATTTGATTTAAATAAACATAAAATTTTCACATAATAATAAAAACTTTTAAGAAAGAAGTATCAGGTGGAATTCAAGATTAATGATGTTGCGATCTATTTCAACTTTACCCAATTGGAAATTCAATTGGGTCTTCGTCAAAAATAAAGTTCTGAAAACTTATTTCATTTGTGGAGAAATAAGAATCTTCTGAATTATTGAAATGAGGAAATTTCCCTTCTAAGCTCTTAAAAGAAAAAATTTCCCGGCAAAAGAGAAGAAAATATGATACAACCAAAGCACAAATATCTCGTCTATTATAGAGGTATGAATTTAAATACAGTAGCTAGAACACTAAACTTGGTTATTTTCGGACAAACAACCCTTTAGTTCAGCTACATGGTCCCAGAAAAATCTCATATTCTTTTATTTATTTATTTATTGTTTTAATTTTAATTAGATGAATCTTGAAGATTAAAATGGAGGTAAGGAATGCATTATAAAATGAGAGTCAAAAGTAGTCACTCAAACTCAAAAGATTAACATTCACCACCTTCTAACAACTTTGGGTATTCGGGGTTAATTAAAATAACCACATCCATTATCCTAAATGCGCATATTCTATATATTGACCACTGAAATTTAGAAAGTCAAAACCACTCTTATTTCACCCCCACATATTTCAATTCTCATCTCTATCTTCGTCTGTTTTTATAGTTAGAAGCATTATATTGATATTAGGATCTCTTCTTTACCTATATTTACTATGTTTATAGAAACATACTCCGATATTCAATCATCAATACATCAATACTATTAGATATATCGCTAAAAAGAATGATAAACCAGTACTATTTGGTAGATTGTCAAAAGATAATTCTATCGATATTGATGATGTTGTTGAAAAGCAATAGCGTCGTCCAATTTGTTTTTAAAAAATTTTTGTTTACTTTTTTATTGATTAATTTAGAATTTAAATTTATTTTAATAATTATATAAAAACAAACTTGTTGAATGAAAATGACAGTTTCAGTCTTTAAGCATGAAACATATATAATTTTCCAATAGCATAATACTTGAGCAAACATGATGTAATTTTTTGTTTTCTTTTCTTTTTATAAATTGATGAGTTTCAATAACTATGTGGTAAACTATTATAAGGTACAACAATACAGAACTGTACCTTAAATCTAAAGTTTCATACAAATTAACATAACCATATTATGTTACAACACCATGTCTTCCATTTTATTGTCAAATAGATATCGATAATAAAGGGTATGAAACTCCGATATTTAACAATAGGCATGTGTGTTTAGAGCACAGCATACACAATTCATTGCCTGCTCTTCGTCAATAAGCATGAAAAGATAATCACACTTAAATAATAGTTTACATTTGGAGTATTAACAAAAGAGTGCTTATTGTGAAACACAGTTGGGGCCAATTCACGGTAACACAGTGAAAACCTCCACGTCTTCCATTTCCAGGGTTCTCACCGAGTATTGAAATGTCCATCCATGGCAAGCACCAGCATGCACACCATTCTTATTGACAGCAACAACAGCCCCAACAAAATCTGGAAATTTTCTTGCAATTCGAGATATTGCATCCTTGGCAGCGAGCTTTGGTTCCATTCCTAATCTCATGCTCTCTACTACTTGATAACTGAAAATTAATAAACAGCTAGAGAGTTAAGAGGGAAAATACAAGGAAAAATCAGATCAGAAATTGTTATAAGATGGATAAAAGCCTTAAAGTGGATTAATTGTGCAAATAGATGACGCAGGCTTGCAGGCAATACAGATTATTTGAGATTTCATCACATACATATGCCTCTAATTTCTACGTGGACTACAAAAGAAAGTGATAAGATTGAGGTACAAGCAAGCAGAATGCCAAACTTGATATGTAAAGTTAGCATGTAATGAGCAGAGATTGAGCCCCAAGCCAAGCTAGCTAAGCATAACAAGCCTCACAACCACATAATGTCAGCTTAATCTGTCATTTGACTATAGCTTCAGTATTCCATCACTAATTATACGAATAAAAGTTCAACCACAAAATATGCAGGCCTTTCAATTTGGGGCATAATAAAAGTTAATTCCACAACCTAGCTGTCCTTGATCAAAAGGGACCAAAAAAACTTCCTAAAAACAGTTGATTAAAGACTTCTAAGTTGTTACAAATTATAACACATTACCAGGGAAGGAAGCGCATCATGATGTCACCATCACCAGTTGCCCCACAAGCACCAACCCCATCATCAGCATATGATGAAGATCCAGCAATGGGTCCATCACCCACCCTGTAGTCAAGAAAAATAACTATGTATCATGATCTCTAAAATATAAGAGATTTGAACAGCATAATGTTACTTTTAGATGGGCTTTCTGATTTGTTTACACAAGAACCAGAAAATACTTAAATTGCTAAAATGACCCTAACAGGAAAAATGTATGACTCGGAGAATGGAAAACAATAATCAAAGTTTCATCTCAATAAATGCATTTGCTTTCTTTAGAGGTGGAAATGTATTCCATTCATTGCTTTCCAAGAAATAGCCAAAACCTGTATTGCTCCAAAAATAGAGGATAACTACCGATATGGAGGAATAGTCGTCCTGTCTTTTTCATTAGACAAAACGACTCTGTTTCCATCAACATTTTTACATGGAGAAACAGAAGTTGATTCAAAATGATCCAATCCAATTCTAATGCTGATTATATAGAAAAATTTGACAAACAAAAAATACGGCTCCAAACTATCAGCAGTAAATGAGGCATCCGGACTTTAAGATAAGAAGATTTTGAATTTTTCAAGATAATAATTAAGACTATTGTCACTCAATATGGTGCAATCATAAACTCACCAGTGACACGTAAGAGGCCTTATATTAACCTTACCTGCCAGGGATCTTAAAAGTAGCTCCATTAGTTGATGTGCCAACAGCAACATGTCCCATCTACATGAACAAAGCAATTTCTGAGTGAAATAGGAATACGTACATACATAGTATGTACACATGAGGTATATCCAATGAACTTACTTTATCGATAACAGCCATTGAAATGGTGTCATGGCTGTGAAGACCAAAATGAGATGACCTTGATTCAATAACTCCCATCAAATTGGCTTTGGAGTAACCCCCCTCACTGAAGCCATTTGCACTCTTCGGACGATAAGGACCACAACCATTTAGAGGTATAACATTTTTCCAAAAATTAGGTTGGCAACCATTCTCTTTCCATTTATTCCACATCTCAATAGACTCTGTCGAGCTAAGGTTTGAGGGTCCTGGGAGACCCATCGCAATGGCAAAGGCTGATGCCTTCTCCCCAACAAGGAGAGTGTGCTTAGTATGTTCCATCACTAATCTTGCAGCTCTAATGCCATCTTTCACATACCTCATGGCAGCTACAGCTCCAATCTCCATTGTCACCTATTAATTCCTTACCAAAACACATGATAAACAATCTTTCTTAATAAAGGAATAAACATGCAAAAAGAAAGAAAACAATAACACAAACGAAACAAACTATAAAAGGCTGTACCCCATTCATAATCAGAGCATCAATTGTAGTTTCTCCATTCTCATCTGGACTTCCACCAGGACCCACTGTCCACAGCAAATTTATACATCAATCAAATCACATTCACAAAATAAAATATTGTTTTTACTTTATTATACAATCTTCCAGTTGAGATAATCCATATGCTTAAATTCTTCTCAAAGGCGATTTACATATGATATTACATTTGCATTCAGTATCTCAAAACAACAACTTTACAAACTTTGAAGTGGTAGCAAAGAAAGAATAATGATAACTAGGAGTAAATTTGATGGAGCTCCCTTGAGGATTAAACTTTTGTCAGAAATGTCCGTATGTCATAATTCTTTCTCTCAAAGGAAAAGAATAGTGTTACCACCTGTACCATCGCACCTCAAATCTTCACAAGCAGAACAACCCTCAACGACAGCATCAACAGCGGAAAAGCCAGCATCAACAGCCCTCCAAGCAGCTCTCACAGCTTCTACAAAAGGCCACGTACTCACCACGATTGGGTACTTCCCTGAAATCCCATCTCCATATCCTAAAATCTAGATGAACCAGACCAAACCCAAGAGATAAAATTATAGAAATGATGAAAATTAAGTAAATGTAGGCAACCAAAGAGATTAATTTATTGTTGATAAGTAACGTAATTATTACCAAGGAAGAGAAGAATGTGAATAGAAAGAGGAGTTTGATTGTGGACATTGAGAAGAAACTCTTCCCTCTTCCAACTTGAGAGAATCAGGATCTGCTGTAACTATGTTGAATGTTAGAGACCAACTGAATTTTTTTGAGGGCGCGGGTTTCGTTAGTTGTGTTTTAGGAATTGCAGGTAAGTGAGCCTGTGACCAATTGGTTCAGCTCATTTTAGTCAACTCAAATTTTAGTAATCTACTTGGGCTTTAGTTCACATTTTATCTTAATTCAGTACACCATCTAACATAAATACATAATTTCATTTTTAAATGAATTAGATTGAAAAACTAAATGAAAATTTTACCTTATCTAATTCATTTAAAATATACCAGTAGTGTTACACATACACAAATAGAAAAATTACAATTCAATTTGATATTGACTATTTTATAACCAATGTTCTAAAAACCAGTCGACCGGGACTTAGGGCCTTTACCAAGTCAAGTTAGTAATTTTACTATTTATTAAAAACTCTAGAAATTAAGATGGTGATCCACGAACAATTAAAGGTTAGGATGTTCAGAATTTTGAAGAGAAAAAGTCGGTAAATACAATGATGGCAACATAAGTGATTTATGATGAATAAATCGATTAGAAATCACAAAATTAAATCAACAACAACAACCTATGAGACAATTATGGGAGGGGTGATATGGGCTTTGGTCAAGAAGTTGAAAATAGTGTTTTCGTGATAATGAAGAATATTATCGTTGTCATTGTCGATAACATACTTATTTCCCCTGGTTTGTCGACACCAGCAATAATGTTTAGAGTGTTTTGGCAAAATTTTAAACCTGTAAAAACTTGAATAACTTTTGAAGATGTTTTTGTTATATTTCAAACTTTTGAACACCAGTTTATTCTGCTAATCAACCCGGTTAAACCAATCAATCTAAGACCCAGCCACTTTGCCGAGTTGCATCCCAGGTTGGTTATATTAATTATACTAAAAAACCAAATCATCAATCACATTACTTAAAATATTAAGTTAAGATTTCAATTATATATACATAAACAAAACATAACAAATATTTCATGCAAAAAAGTAGTGGCTGGAAGAAGCTCCATTATCATAATTAATAATTAATTATAAGAATCTTTAATAAAGGCTTTTTTTAAAATATAATTAATTACTTTTAAATAGACAGGAAATATAAACACTTCCAACTCTCTAAGTCTATGATCCATTATTGAGCTATTTCTTCAACGACAATCTAACCACCACTCAACTTTTCACAAAAGCAGAAGGGTAAAATATTACAAATCTTATTGCTTCAAGCATCAGCTCCCATCCCAAAACCAACAAATATTGACAAAATAATTTTGAATATAGGTTCTATGGACTACGATTTACACACTCACAATCTCAGAATTCACTCAGGTAGCACTGGACACTTCCCAGCTTGATGAATTCGGTGGGGCATCTGGAAACAGGTTGAATCCAACTCACCTCCAAACAGTCTCATTTGCATCTGTGAAGATCGCATTGTGCTGTTCTATGAGGCACTGAACAACCTCAATAGCGCCGAAGTCGACTGGCATGCCATCATCCAAAGGAATGGGAGATAATTTAAATTCGGTGATAAAATAAAATAAAAAAAGATGCAAAGTGTTTAACGTAAGACTTGGTGAATGGGTATCTATGACTCTCATAAGGTTTCAACATTTTACAAGTGCATAGGAAATCATTAGGTTAATACAAACATGCCATGGATTATGATTATTTCATTACACCCTTTTCAACATAATCGTTGGACAAATTGCCTTTATAATTAGTCATTTACATCTCTTATCGTCAGCCTTTATAATTAGTCATTTACATCTTTTATCGTCAAGTTTTGATATTATATTGATCAAGATTCGAGACTCCATAGAAAGATAAAAAGTTAAAAATTAAAATATTTTGTAAAGTAGAGATATAAAAACTAAAAAAGATATGTTGTATATTATTTTAAAAATAATATTAAATCTTAAGCATATTTAAAATAAAAAGCTTTTTCTAATTTTTTAAATTATTTTGAAATATTTAAGGGTGCGTCCTATTCCCAAAATACCTGTTTGTTTAGTTATTTGGGAAATACTATTTTATTTTTATCATTATTTTAGACCCTTTAAGTTTATTAATTTAATTAAACACCCCTAGAAAAAAAAGTTTAAAAATTAACAAAAACACATGCATCCACCCATAGTTGCTAGATTCCGACAATCATCGGCGGTGGTGGCCAAAATCTGACACTGTAGGTGAGTGGGGGTATTTTTATCATTTTATAAAAAATTTATATATTGGGGTGTTTAGTTAAATTAGCAAACCTAAAGGGTTTTTTTGTTAATTTTTAAATTTTATCTTATAATACTCGTCATATTCAAATATCCAATATTATTTCAAAAAATCATATCAAAAATAACAAAACAAACGTACTCTAATATATCATCTAGTATTTGAACATAAAATGTCTAGTTTACCCTTCCCTCAATTCAATTCAACACAAAAAAATTGACAACAAAGGGTGCAAGTGACTAAATTATATGGATTATGTGTTAGGTAAAGACAAATCGTCTTGTCACAGGTGGGTCACCAAATAAAAAGCATTTGAGTGCTCCCTGTAAACCTTTCCACTTATTCTAAATTTTGAATTGTTTAATTTAATCTTTATCCATAAGCATTTTGGCTCCTTCCAACCTCAACAGAAAAAAGCCACACGCTTTCTTCCCCTTATAATCGCGCCATTAAAATATCCCGGTTCTTCTCCTCTGCTCATTCGAACCGTCGAACGATTCATTACTGTGACTCACTCTCATCTCAATCTGTCTCTCTCTCTTTTAGGTACAAAACAGTACTATCAATCTCAATGGTTATTTCCGTTTCACTCTCATCATCAACTCAACAATTGCCTTAATTAGATTCTTTTAAAGAAATTTTTTTTTTTTTAGCAGAAAAAAGGTCATCCATGTTACGGGGAAGAGGAATCCATTACTTACAGAAATTAAAGGCCGCAAATATTCCAACTGCTTTGTTAGAGAAAGGACAAAATCGTGTTATTGATGCTTCTCTTACACTTATCCGTGAGAGGGCAAAGCTTAAGGTACACATACAATCTTTGTTTTAATTTCAATTCAGTGGCTAAAATTGTGCTGCAGAAACTATAATTGATTCTTATTTCGGTCATATGTTATGTGATATTTATGAAGGGAGAGCTTCTGCGTGCGTTAGGAGGTGTTACTGCTTCAACAACTCTTCTCGGAGTTCCATTGGGACATAACTCATCGTTTCTTCAGGGGCCGGCCTTTGCTCCTCCTCGTATAAGAGAGGCCATTTGGTGTGGTAGCACCAACTCTACAACTGAAGAAGGTAATTTATTATGAAATAAATTAATTCTCAAATAATTTATTTC